CTCTCTCTTTTTTCTCTCTTTCTTCTCTCTTTCTCTCTTTCCCTCTCTCTTTTTCTCTTTTTCTCTCTTTCCTCCTCTCTTTTTCTCTCTTTCTCTCTTTCTTTTAACATCTTATTTTCTCTCTTTCAGAACATGGAAAAGGTGCTGGTCCCTTCTGTCACGTTAATTGTAGGCTGTGGAGTATCTTCGCTGACACTTTTGCTGTTGATTATCATTTATGTCTCTGTTTGGAGGTACGACATTCATTCTTCTTTCTTCTTTTGGGGGAAAAAAAACTATCTCTTGGTCTAGCTGGATCCTGCAGGTTTTATTCTCCACTTTTTGATGTTTGGTGCCTGAGGACGGACTGTTTTGTAATGAGTGTGTACTGCAGAAATTCATCGTGGTGGCTTAGTTGGCTTTATCCTTTCCTTTTAGTGCCAGAGAAATTAGTGCAGTGAAGTTAGTGCCTTGACCCCTTGCAGTCACACTGTTCCGTTTTCAAAACCTGCATTCTGTTTTAGATGCCTTCATATACCCCAGGAAACCTTGTTCTTGAAGAGGTGGACACTCATTGCCTTCTGACAGACAGGTTGCTTCCAAGTATTCCCTGTTGGATCGCTGATAAAATCAAGGATTGAGGACTCTTTATGAAAGCTTTTGGCCTGAAGAACTGACAACAATTTCCTGGAGTTTAAGGATGTTAAAGCTTACCGTGTAACTAACTCTCAAATCACTTAGCTACATTCCGCCTTTAGCTTCAAATGCATGAGGGATTCTTCAGTATTTCCTATTGCTAAGAGCTCCCGTACACCTACAAGCAGCAGTCGGGTGCAACTTTGCAAAAAGGTGCATAATTTGCAAAGGCTGAAGTGATGTTTTAGCAAAGTTTCTTTGAACAAGAGTCAATGCCAGCCCAAGCCCTTTTAGTGGACTGCACAAGCCCCGAGGATCGCAGGCGGTCGTGGGGTCTTCCTCTGTATAGGCTTAAATAAGGCTTGAGTTTGCACTACAGAGATCTGTGCCTTTCCTAAACCCATGGAAAACATAGTGAGAGCTTCATGGCTCCAAGCTAAAAGAAACAGAGAAACTGCAAACTACTTGAATTACTATGAAATTGAAATGACATGGCCTCAGAGAATATACTTTTAAGAACTTATTGGTGACCCTTTTCTGAGATCAGTCTGTGGCTCTTAGTCAGATTTTTCTTCTTGGTAGGGAAGAGAGAATAGATTAATCTCTGAGTTGTAAATCAGGATCACTTTTCCTACCATTTGATGGAGACAGAAAAGGAGGAAAGAGGCAAGACAGTAAAAATGGGGGGGAAAAAAACATCTTTTTGTTGACAATGCATAGTGGCTAGTTAGTTATAGCGAGTGCTTTGAGGTAAGGCCTAGTCATAATAACATGAAACTAGAACTGAAGTTTTTCTGCAGTTGTGGTGTCCCTGGGTCTGCTCAGATGCTTTTCTTATCATGGTTTTCTTGGGGAAGGGTTTTTGTTGGTTTTGGGATTTGTTTGGGTTGGGATTATTTTGTTGTGATTTTCAGTTCCACTGGTATGAGGATCAAGTGAAAACTTAGATGAGAGGAGTGAAAAGCCAGATAGTCTGCTGGTCATTTTTATAGACATATACTCATTTTCTTATCAGAAAAACATCTAGTATCAGAAAACTTAAGTTCAGATGTACAGGTGAATTAGATTTTTACTTTATGTTTGGAGCATATTGGAATATTTTGGAGTGAGGACAGGAAAGTTAGTTACTGTCCCTGCTTAAAAAGATGCCCTTTTTAGTTCCTCATTCCAGACACTGACTAATGTTTATGGCCAAAATGATCTGAAGAAAATTCAGCATGAATGGAACATTTATGGGACCTTTGAGTGGGAATTTTGGAGCTAGCCAAGGATAGACATGTATTTCCAAGTGATCCTGAGAACAGATATATTTTGATTAAAGAGCTGTCTGTCCTAAGAAGTATTTTCTTTACGGAAATATATCTGGAAACCATGATCAAGCCATCTCAGGACTTTTCCTTGGGTGGGCTGAATAAGTGTCATTTCTTATCTGTAAATCATGTTTAATGTTATCTAAACTTTACAGTGTTCCTGTGGCTGAGCCCTGAGCATTCTCCGGAGTGTGCACCCTTTTTATCTTAGGCGTAGCTGCTGGACATGAATGTGCTGTCCTATTAATGATCTCAGGAACATCATATTGAAGTTAACGCTACCTCTTGGCTCCTGCTTGATTTTGCCCTATATGTTATATAACCTATACATTCTTGTAGCTACAGGCAAGCATCTGGAGGCATTCCCAGAGGCTGGATCAGCTGTTTTATTCTGGCTGTTGTGGCTAAAATGCAGGAATGGTGTAAAAGTGGCCTTTTTTTGTCACTGCACAAGAGAAAAACTTATTGTCAGAGCAGTGTCCTAGCCACATCGTATTCTCTGGGGAGTACTCACTGAAACTCCACTATTTTGAGGAGCTTTGGCTGTGAAATTTCCCATTCAGATCTTTGGACAAAGGCATCTGGAGCATGTATACACAGGCTCAGCTTGAATATGAACCTGTTCTAATGAATAGATTCACTGAGGCTGACAATTTGGAAAGTTTCCCAGAGTTTTGCCCAGCTAGAGTTTGTTTATACATGGGAAGCAGAAAGAGAAGGGAAAAAAAATAAAGGAGAGAGGGAAGAAACATGATAAATGAAAGGAGGCAAAGCATCAGGTGATCCCTGCTTTGGATATTGGGGAGGAAATGAATTTACCCTCCCCTTTTCACTCAAAACCTCAATAGTGGTTGCTTATTAGTGGCGTCTTCTCAGCCGCCAGTGTGACCTGCATGAGTTTCTTGATGCAAGTAATCACTTCAGATGCAGCCAAGTTGGCAGCATCTCCTTATAGACGGGATGCTGTGGCTGTTTGATGGTTGGTGGTGGCCTGTTGGTGCACTCCCTCCAGTTTCCAGCAGACAGATGGTTACAAAAGCTCTGCTACAGATGGTGCGTCTCTGCACTTATTAGCAGCCTTGACAGAGAGGTCAGTCACCAAGTGGGCTGTAGAAATGGAGCGACCTTCTTGCCTCTGGGCTGTGACTAGGTCGCATCTGGAGAGGCAATCTGTATGGGGACTGTGTGCGTGGAGAGGAAAGGAAGTTCAGAGAGAACGCTGAACCCAGGGGAACTCTCGAAAATGAAAAGCAGGGGGAAACAGGAATTGCTGATAGCTTAGAACATGTGTAGGGGCTTAGCTCCGGTCTGTACAGGAAGTCCTTGCAAGCAACTCCTTGATATAGTAGCACTGCGTGAGTGTTTCCCATCCCTGAATTCAACATGGTTCAACAGCCTCCAGAGCCAGAGTGACATTTCCATAGCCTGGACATGAATGCTCACTTTGGAATAGCCCTTGCATTTCTACCATAAGGCAATCAGCATGTAGGACGCTGGAGACCTTTCTCTCTCATAGTGGCCAAAGGAATGCCACACCGCTGACAGATATCAGTGTGAGCTTTCTTCACTCCCTGCCCATCAAGGCTAAAGATTGATTTAGTGTTTGTCCATGAGCTCTCAAGGGACGTGTACTGGCTTTAAATCCAGTAGGAAAGCTTTCATTGAAGATGCTGAGATACTCTGTGGTGCAGTAACTGGAATGAGCAAGTAAGTGACTGAAGAAGAACCTGTAGATGCACAGACTGAGCGAGACCATGAGAGTGAGTCAGTGCTTGTGGAGAGGAAGGGAGCGTATTGGCAGGGGAGAGGCAGGCTGCAGGGTTTTCCCACATTCTCCATCTGTCTCAGTTTGTACAGGATTTACCCATATCCCACAAGACCCAGGCTACAACAGAAATTCTCTACAGTTTGGGTGATAGTCTTCCCCAGCTTGGAGGCTGAGCACAGTATTGTTTGACAAGGAAGAGTGTCCTTGTAGCAGCAAAGGAGTAGCCTAATTTAGTGAATTCGGTGTGATTTTTCAGGCAATATTCCTTGTTAAGTCAGGTTTCCAGGAGATTCAGGACAAGTTCAGGCTACTTCCAGCATCCAGCATTGTCTTGGTGACTCTTTTTATCCAAAAAACCCATATTCTCCATATTCTCAGTGTTCAGGTTTATCTGAAACTAAATTTAAAACTCAGAGGGAAGTTAAAGTCAAATACTGCAGTCTCTAGTGTCTAAAGCAGAGGCATCAGGAATGTGGAATGCAGTTAACTCATCATGCCTGCTGAGCAAGAAATGCAGATTTCGACAGCCAAACTATGACAGATTCACTCCTACTAAAATTGATTGACGAAATTAAATTCCTAATATAAATAGTTGATATGCCAAAATATATACTGCAGGAAAATAATCCTAACATTAGCCTCCAGGAATGAGCTGCTTAGTTAATATGTCAAACTCTAATTTTTGTAGGCATAAGAGTCTCCTCTTTATTCAATTTATATTCAGGCAAAGCATTTGCCAAATCACCAAGATTATTCACCTATGTAAGTCCTGTTATGTTCAGGACCTTCTCTTTAGTTTTAACAGGTACATAAAAGTGTGTTCAAAGAAATTTTCCTCCAATAACCAGTGGTTTGAATTAATTGTCATGTGCAAACTCACTGCAAATCAGACCTGACAAGTGACTTGCTCCTGCAAGGTGCTGAAGGCAACAGCTTCCAAACTTGGATTGCTCATGTCCCAGACCTATTGCTGCAGTTATATATTTGGCCTAGTTTTGAGGAGTGTTAAGACTTCTCCACAGGGCAAATTGTTAAATGTCACCCTTTGGAAAACAAGCCACACCATCTTTCTTATTTCTGGAATGGGCTTTTAGGTTAAGCAAATCACAAAAACTGAATCACGAACACTTAGTTGTGAAGGTGCATGCATTCGTAATCTGCTTTGATAGCCAGCATGCCTGTGACTCTTCTTTTGGAGAATCTTTCCATGGGCACATAAATGTTTTCTTCTAAGCTTCTTTTCAAGAACCTTTTCAAGTAAGCAGAGCTGAAGAAGACTTACGACACTCAATATGTCTTAGAAATATGTCAGACGTATATCAGTCAGCATAGCATCGGCACTTGCAGTGTTTGGGGTTAAAAAGTTTAAGGGTCCTCAGTCATTGTACTGCACTGATGTGAAGAACGAGAGGTTGAGCACTAAGGTTCTTCCCTTCTCCCCTTTCTCTTATCTATTCAGCATACAAAGTCTGCTGAAAGTGGGCTATCTCTTAGTGGTCTTGTATAGGATCTCGCCTAGCGCAACCTGTGTATAGTTGATATCTTTCAAAGTAACTTAATGCAAGTTGTGACAGGATGGACCTCCCTCCCCCTTTTCTCTTTTTTTTGCAGGTATATCCGCTCAGAGCGCTCTGTCATTCTTATCAACTTCTGCCTATCCATCATTTCCTCCAATGCTCTCATTCTGATTGGACAAACTCAGACCCGGAATAAGGTAGGAGATTGGTTGGACTTTGTTTATTTGCTTTTCGCCTGATTTAGCACTGAAATGATCTATTCAGGCAACACTTCCTCTTTTTTCCTCCATCTGTTAATTAGCTACATGACTAAAGACATGACTAAATGACAGATTTCAATTTTTTCTTTCGCTCTCTCTTTAGTAATTTGTCAGCATCCTTAGGGTTTTGATTAAAACCAATGTGATATTTTTGAATATGTGCCTAGAGTTAGCTGGCACCTGGCAGAGTGAAGGAACATGGTTATTTGTGAGGCTTTAACCATTTTATTTTCCCCCCTGAAAAAAAAAAAAAAAAAGAAAAAAAAAGACAGCAACTTTCATTATCCCCGCTTCAAGCACTTGTCATTTGTTAATAAATATAGCTTCAAAGACCAGCCTTTTTGGAACAGAAATATTGCCAGATCCATCATACACACTGCAGAGCTGAGACACAGTGAACATGAGGCTCTCACTGCAGTTCGCTGTGTGACTCAAGTGATAAAGACAAGAAGAGAACCTGCATTTTCAAGCCATGTGCACTAATTGCAGAGTACATTCCACGTTACAGAGCAGAAGAGCTTATTGCCTGCATGACTTTTCTCCAGCTGAAGCACTTTCAATTTCCCTATTGGCATCTTGAATAACAAATCACTGATTAACATTAGAATTTTCATGTTGTGCATTTCCAGTCTCCCCAAGCACTCAAACATCCAAATGCTACTAAACAGAAAACTGAGACAAGGCACTTAGCGCTAAAATCACACTCATAAGTCAAATTAGTTTTAACTTCGATAGTGACCACTGATTAGCCCATTCTTTTGAGCCTGCCTCGGCAGCCAGAGCATGAAGTCACTTTTAGAAGCTCTTTTTCAGAGAAGCCCCAAGATTTAATGAATCAGAGATACTCATTATCCTTGGTTTCTACCAAGAGCCCTTCAGGTCAGGGCTAAGTTAAGTTTTAGAGACAGCTTCACAGCAGAGTTGTACATGTGTAGAGAAGTAGGGAGAGATGCAGTCAGACAGCTTTGTACCTATTAAGCAAGTGCCATTCAGGTGCTAACTTCACAAACAGTGCTGTCCATCCTTTATTCCTTTATGGCCAGCATGGTTTGCTTGGGGGAAGAGGTAGAGAAAATACTAGAAAACTGAAGAAGTGTGTGTCCGTAAGTACATGATGGCTAGGAGCAACTTTTCATAGAAAGAACTTGGATTTCTTTTGATCCTTTTTTTTTTCAATCCCAGGGAAGGAGCAGGGTGCCGTTATCCTCTCCTACCCCTGGCAGAGTAGAGTAATGTGCCTGGGTTTTCCCTCGTGCTTTTTCTCACTTTACTGTGGCTGTTCATCATCAGAGCTGTTAGTGGGGATTCAAAGCTCTCGGCTGCAATTACATGAGGCAGATTAGCTCTTTGCATATAAATGTGCATGGTACACCATAAATAGAAAGGTTATTCTTGGATTTCCGCTCAGCCATCTAGTAAACAGTCTCTGGCAGGGAACAGAGGAATAAAAGTATACCAAGAAGAGACCAAGGCTTCCACAGAGTGTGACTTAGGAATTTATTCTTATTCAATTATTGATAATGGAGCTTCTTAAAATGTTGGTGATTGATTTATAATTGCAGCTACTCTGGGAGAATTTCTGTGGAATTAGCTTCTCTGAAAATGACAAATTCTTCTTTCCTTCTCATCCGTGTAACCTCAAAGGCAAGCCTCCACGCCTGCATTTGCTAAGCTTTTTGAAGATGAAAGGCCTGGGAAAAGGCTAAATATTGCAGTCAGCAATAACATGATACAAAAGAAATGAATGCTGCATGAACTGGCCATATCTCAAAGGCATGGTTACGTGCTGGAAGGAACATATTTCTTCTCTTAGAGCAAAACAAAGGCTAATGGCCTTGACAGACTGACAAGCTCTGCTAGATCTTCCTGCAACGGTTTAAGACATCAGATCCCCCTGCTCAGCCCTTTCTGGAGATGACTGATTTCCCAACCCGATTTCAGGAGTTTAAGTTGAGGCAATAGGCTTCTGAGAAGCTCAAAAACCAAAGGCAATGCCCTGGGAGGTGCAGGACCACTGCTCAGCAACGTGCTCGTGTCACCACCCACCTCTAGGTTGCTTTATCCTGTCTAGTTGTGGGAAGCAGCTCTGTCAACAGAAAAATACACCGTGGTCAAAGTCACTGTATCGACCCAGTCATACCAGAAGGTTATCTGCATAGCAGTGACTGGTAGCAGTTATCACCTCTGAAGTCTCAGAGAGAAGGCTGATGTTTGAGATGAGTGGAAAATCGATCTCTCCCAACCTTCCGGGTAGTATCCCCATGGGATGGTTGGGAAACCACAAGACTTCTTGATCGAGAAAACAGTCTCAAGTTTGTACGTAAAATTAGGCCCTTGCTCCCAGTGGCTTTTAAGGTAGTTGCAAGCACGATCATGAAATATAGATGTGCTTATTTTTTGCTGGGTTCTTCTTCTCTCTTCTCCTCCCCTTTCCTTCAAAACTACCTCATTAATATCTAATTAAGTAAAAATGCCTGGAAAATATAATGTATGTCCCTGGTGGAAAATTGGAAAGCAAAGACTTCCTCTCCCCTTTACAAATTACTGGTAAAGAGAGCAGGATTTTGTACGTGGAGAACTGCTCAACAAAATAAAGTAATTAATATGATATATAAATAAATATAGCTCAGTAAATTGCCCCCCCCAAAAAATTTCTAAAATACAAATCTTTTGAATAATATTATTGAAATAATTCTGTGCTTGTAACTATTTTCATTAGGTCTATAAGATGATGAATAACAACCACCTTTTTATGATTCTTTTTAAATGTAAAAATTACTTAAAAATAACATATAGAGATGTCTTATTTGTACTGAAGTGTCACCCAGAATCTGTTTATAGGTTTCTGGTGTCAAATACAAATATGGAACAAAACAGCAGTTTCTGCCTCGAACATCATGCTGTCCTACTTTTGTTCACAATCTCTGATAACATCATTTTTTTCCCAGTGTATGAATTGAAAGCAAAAGTCACATACACACAGAGAAATGTATAGTAGGTCTGTATTAAAAGATACTGGTGTATGAAAAAAGAGGAAGGTTCATTGGCCGTAAACCCAAAGTCTATATTTACTGACATAATCCAAAGCAGACAAATTCTAGGCTGTCCTGTCCTGTCTGCCCTGAGTTTCTTATACATTGTTCTTTTTTATCCAGATTCACTTGTAAAATTGGTTTTCTCTCCTCCTTGGCAATCACTGAAATTTGTTTCCATTATTTTGTTTTTAAATATATTTTTGATTCACAGGGCCGGGTTTTCTGCTGGTGAAAATTCAGCACAGGTCTGGTGCAGTTAACAGAGCAGCACCAATTTGCACCAACAAGAGATTTGGCCTCGACGTCTTAAAAACAAAGCAGAGCTTGTCAGCTTTCCAGTCCATCTCCCTGGCACTACAGGATTGTTCTTCATAATACATTTCCTAGTTCTTTCCCCAGTTTAATTTTAAATGGCTTAAGCTTCCCACATTTCCCTTAGGAGACTGCTCAGTGGAATAGTAGAACTCACCATTATGAAATCCTTTTTAACATTTTTTTTTCTTTTTTCCATTTTCTCCCTCCTTACTGCTAGTTACACCCTCATAGACAATCCTTTGCATTTTTTATTTTTACAGTCCCCACCTTCCACTAGCAGTGATGGTTTCACAGCTTAATTCTTGCAAAGAACAATCCTTTTCTGGCAGGGACACTGTCTAAATTACCTTCCTCTGGTTTCATTTCTGTTGCCAACAGCATAGCACTTGCAAGGCTTTGCAGCTGAGATTAGTGTGAGGTTTAATAACAGATCTGTCCTCTCGGAAAGGACTACAGCAGTGTTTTGATCATTTGGAAAATGAGTCTGTCTCACTGAAATCAAGAAACAGTTTGGGCTTGGATAGGACAGGGGTTCAAGCATCGGCTCAGCAAAATTGTTATCTGTGGATTTGTCTTTAAGCTGATGCTAAAATATTGTTGATTTCCATGAAGTATTTACACTTAAAGCAAATACTTTAGTCCTTTGCCAGGTCAAAGCTTGCAGGGGAGATGGTCTCCTCCTGGAATGTCTTCATTTTCTCATTCCTGTGATCTTTCCTTCCAGAAGCTGGTTTGGAAGCAGCTCCCTTTGCCTGCTGCTGTCCTCTGAGTTGCTCTCTCCGCATGCTGCTCCTCTCACGTGTCCTCCTTTCCTCCTATCTCCAGGTGATCTGCACGCTGGTGGCAGCTTTCTTGCACTTCTTCTTCCTCTCCTCTTTCTGCTGGGTGCTGACAGAGGCCTGGCAGTCCTACATGGCCGTGACGGGCCGGTTACGGAACCGCATCATCCGCAAGCGTTTCTTGTGTCTCGGATGGGGTGAGGATCACGGGTCTGGGAATTAGCCCCCCTGTCAATAGGGGGGAAAACACACTTTTCCCCCTATAATGTGTCTTTTACTTTTGCTGGGGAGGCAGGGAGAGCCCATGCAGGAAAAGGGATGGATACGATAGACCACAATATCTCTAGAGATAGTTACAACCCTTTTGTGGTATTAACAAGGGCTGAAATGGTTAAAAAATATCTCGAGATAAACTCATCCTTACATTCTACCTCTGTCCGCTCCATGCAGAGGTCACTCAAAACAGATGAGGTGAAAGGGGGGTTATATTTTCCAAAAGTTTGAGAGTGTGCATGGGGGTCTCCTTGCTTTTGCTTTCTTGCTTTCTCTTTTTCTCTCTCTGTGTCTCCTTCAATGTGAAACCTGGAGAGAAGCAAGCTCTGAAATCCTGTCTCCATGGCAGCAGGGGCTCCCATAGACAAATAAACTATTAGACGGGTGCAGATGTTTGTAACTAATTTTTCTCCCTCTGCCTGTTCCTAATGTTTAATTTATCAGCCTTAAATGATGTATTCTGTAGTAGAAAACAAACACAAACCATAACCTAGACTTTCAAAGCAGCAACAAAAGAGCAATGCAAAAAAAGTTGCTCGTAAGCAAGCAGGCAAAAAATAGAAGGAAATAAAGAAAGCGAGAGAGAGAAAGCACTGTGCTTCTAAGCTGTGCTAGTGTCTCATTTTACTACTGAAGTCAAGCATTTTACCCCAGGCAAGATATTTCTGATGCTTATGAAGGTCCGTGATGTGATTAGTTCTGACACATCAAGAATCATCCTCGTTCCAGAACCTGCACTCCAGGGTAAAGTGGTTTCTCTGCCCTGCTGATCATTTCACAGCCTACTTCGTTTTACCTGTCCCGAGTAACCCAACCTGGTTAACTCGTTTGTGCTTGGTGCTAAACAGATTTATTGCTTCCTATGATTGCACTGTGATGGGACAATGTTCCACCACCCACGGGGGCTAAGACAGGCCTGCTAACATCAGCACAATAAAGGTGCAAATAGGTCATTTTGGGCCAGATTCTGCTGTGAGATGCATTCTTGCGACACCCGTTGTTCAGGAGCAGAAAATGCATGCGCATGATCAAAGCCATCTCGTTTAGCACTAAGTAGCCATGCAAATCTGCGTCTCTCTCCCTGCTTACTCTGCTACAGGAGAATAATTAAATTGTTCCCCCCACTTCACGGGCAGAAGGGTTTTGTTTTGCTGAAAAACCAAGGAGTGCATCATCTTTGGATTTAAAAGGTGGTGTTGGAGCTTGAGAATGATTCTCACTCTTGCATTTTTTTTCCTAAATTTACAACTGAAAACAAAATAAATCATGGTATTGAAATAAGATGTTGGTGTGTAGCACGAGAACCTAATCACTTGTATGCAAAGCATAGTTGCATATTCTGTGTGTGCATTTGTGTGCTTCTGCAAATGTTTATACACAAACGCTGTGTTACTCAAGTAATTTCAGGGAAAAAAAGTATGTGCTTTTTTATTTTTTTCATTCTGATTTGTAAATGCTGGGTCAAATACTCATATTAACCAAGAGAATTTGGGACAGTCAACATTTACGCTTGTGATCTGCAGAGATTAAAAAAAAATACATATGAAGAAGCATAATTTCATCTGTTAGTAAATGTACTAATCTCTGACTGAGGTTACGCTGGTAGATAAATGATGCATAATAACAGTTTAGAATAGATTAAGACAGGAAGCGAAGAACACTCTAGCCTATTAAGGCAGCAAGGGAGTTTCAGATCTTCAGCCTACTCTTAGACTTTAACAGTAAACTGGAATTAATGACCCCCTTATGAGGAAAGAAGCAGAAAATATGATTTGTAGAGCATAATCTGAAATAATTAGTATAATTCACTTTGTAATAGATGGGTTCTTCCTCTTCTCACCCTTTATGTATTAAACATTTGTATTCAAAGCCTTTATTCTACATTTCTTTGCCAAATTCTCAGCTGCTGTCAGTTGTAGCTTCAATGAAGCTACAATGGTTTTTATTAGCAGTGAGTTTTATCCCCTGTTTTTCTGTTCTCTTGGGTATGCAGCTTTACTTCTCCAGAAAAAAAGAAGGATTGTAGAGTTCATAGTAATTAGAAATATTATAAATTATTTAGAACAGAAAGATGAACAACTCCCTAGAAACATTTCACTCATAATAGTTATTCCATGAAAAGAAGAAATCATTTTGTCATTCTTCATATGACCATGTTGTGCTTTCCGCTGTTGAATTTTTTATGATGCCATGGCTGAGGCTCTGAGTGGGTCTTCAGTTTTTCATAACAGTTACGACACTTAGCCATTGTTATTTATGAGTAGCCTTTTTTAATGGAACATGATGAGGGCATGATACGATTCTCCTTCTGGACTGGAATAACAAAAGTCTTAGAGTCGGATTTCTGACACATTTCTTTAGAATTGTGAATGTAAAATTCACTTTTTTGCAATAAAAACAACCCTCAGACTTTGCCATTATGAGGCATGACTCACTGGCTAGAAGGCTGGTGCAAAACACCTACAGTATACAAATAAATCAATTAGGAAAAACTTTTTCTTTTTCCAAATAATTGAAAAATAGGATAAAAGTTTTGTGAAAATGTTTGACTTTTTTTTTTTGATAGGATAGTGGAAATAAAAAAAAAATACAGAACCGTCATTAAAATTTTATATCTGTGTGTTTGCCAATGCCCCTTTTCAGTGTAGTCACTCAACTGAGCAGACACTGCATTTGCAGCTCCTTTCCAGGCAGGAAAAGCCAAGCGCAGCTCCCAGGGTGCAGCTCATACAGCTCCTACCGTACAAGCTGAGACTCCTCCCCAGACTCCGTAAAAGCCAGGCCCTGGAAGCTGACACGTTTGCAGCCTGAGTATGTGTTTCTGCATAATTATCACATCTAAGCGAAATACTTTGTGAAGAACGAGTTGCTATTTTAGGCAGAGTCTTACCCAGCTTTTATCTTTTCCAGGGCCTCTTGCATCACACTTTACTCCTGAAAAAAGCCCTTTCACGTGTAGCTTCTTGGTGCCTGAGGCAGCAAGGAGATGATATTTTGATCTTAGCGCACTATTCACCACGCAAGTGATATGTCCACGATGCCCATAATATATCCAGCTGGGATGTGACGGAGGCTCAGCCAGAGAGGCAATAGTAGATTAGGAGAAAACATAAGAGACATCTTTTAAAACCATTGCCGGTGGACTGTGAGCTGATCAGAAGTGAGTTGTGCTTGGGGAATCTCCTTTGGGAGGAGAAACACTTTCCTTTACGATAATGCTCAAACGTTTTCTATTCCAGCCAATTTGGCACTACACCTCCAGGCTGGTCCTCACTGTTGCTAAATCCTACAGTGATTTGTATTGCCAAGTGACCACAGTGTAGGGTCATTGCCTGGATGCTCTTTCTGTGCTCCCCTCCAAATTACAGCGCTCCTGCAGCCGCCTGGCATGACCTCTGCAGCACAAGAATTAGGGACTTGTCAAGCAACGCTAATCCTAGCTGGCTACTGATCCTACTAATTCTTAATGGGATTTGCCCATCTTTAGCATTGAGACAGCTTATTTCACGCTGTCGCAAGTCTATAAAAAGCCACACACAGACCTCTGTGGCTGAAGAACCAGATGTTACTCTCCCATCCTCAGGCACTTCTTTATGGAAAGGGGAGAGCGAGGATGGGAATAGTGAAGCAGAAAAGCACCTAGTCTCCTCTGTAGATCCTTGAGCAGTTTATCATTGCAGGGTTAGGAAGGATGAAAAGATTATTAGCAGGACATAATGACTTTTGCCTTCAGGCTGCTGATCCAGATTGTGCCTCGGCATTTCATGGCTCACAATTTTCAGTACTTTTTTTCTGAAATTATTCCAAGTTTCAGGCCTCACTTTCTAACAGCGAGCAGATTTTCTTCTCCTCTCTTCCCTTACTTTTACTGGGAGCTTTTACCGTTAACTTGAAGGACCCAATTCAGTCCATGTGCACCTGAAATACCACCTTATGCTGGCAGTGTTAGCTCATGACACTCTCTAAATAAATAAATTATCTGTGACTTGTGCGCCATGAGCTTAAAACAGGATTAACACACCCATTATTTTCAACAGTAATAACAAAATGGTTTGGAATAGGAAAAAGTCAGATCCCGATTCCCGCTCCATCTAATTTGGGTTGATATTTGCAACTTAGTTGTCCATATGTTATATTAAAATAGCCCTCATAATTAAACATAACCCTCAATCTTTGTCGTCCTAGCTCTTATGGTTGGGTTGTGACTGGATATTCTACCTTCAAGGAGATGCTTTGATATTCCTGACCATGCCTTAGGTGTAGAATGTCCCTAAGAATAAAATGAGTGCATTTTATGCATCCACATGCATTGTCAGTCCCCATGGAACTGGTGAGTCCATAGCAGATTATGAGGTTGTTGCAGGCTAATGGCTTTTACTCCTTTAGCTGGAGTAATGAGGGTTCATGCTTTTGGCTCTGGAAGTCCTGAATTCAGTCTCTGCCAGAGGCCCAGGCTGAGACAGATGGTGCTAGAATAACACTGGGCGGAATGGAGTATATCAAGTGGCTGAGTGGGAGAAGACCTACACATATACTGAAATGACCAATTTTTTTTTTTTTGTTTTTTTTTTTTTTTTTTTTGTTTCTTTTTCGCAGGGCTTCCTGCCTTGGTGGTTGCCATTTCCGTGGGATTTACTAAAGCCAAGGGATACGGCACCGTCAACTAGTGAGTAAAGGGACTCCTCTATTCATCCTTTCTGAGCCTCTCAGAGGAACAAATGTGGCCAACTAAGTCCTCAGTGTGTTGTCCACCATAAAGGGAGGCAAGGAGGGTAGGAAAGGAAGGAGCCATCCTGCCTCCCTGTCTCCTCAAGGCATCAGCTCCCTGGAAGCTCCAAACTTTCTTCCTTTTAACCTGGATGCATGGGCGAACCTTTAGAGACAGGGATTATTATTGGATTGGGAGCTCTGTTAGCTGGTTTGGGTTAAAAAGAAAGAGGTTTTCACAAGGAGATATGATCAGAGTAGTCAATTGTATGTTTTAGATTTATCTATATTTGCTTCTGAAGCAGAGCTGAATTCCCATCAGAGACAAGATGCTGGCAGAAGTTGGATTACTACTGTGATTATTAGGGTTAATTTAACCATTCCCTTAATGCAACTATAAAAGCACTTTGGGGAAAAAAAATAGAGGAAAACATGGAAATTTTTAAGTATAGGATGTTTAAAAATGAAAAATGCCTTTTGTGCTTGTCTTTTAAATGATGTGCCTGATTTAACCCAGGTTTTCAAAAAAGCTCAGCTCAGGTTTAGACACCAGAATGAGGATAAATTTTTCAAATCAAGTTTTTAAAAGCAGTCTGAATTTGCCTGTTTGCCAAATCTCGCATTGGAAGCGGCTCAGGATTTGTCTTGGAAGCTGCCTTTAGGAACTTCTTTCATCTAAAGGAGGAAGAAAAGCAGAGTGGATAAAGCAGAAAAAGACTGCAGACAGGGAAAGAGTCATAAGGCATGGCTGGAGTCACTCAGATCTGAGCATTACTGCAACTTAAAAGGAAAAGAAAGTGTTATTCAATGTGTTTTGAAAAAGGCAGATTAACATTTTTATGCACAGTGGCAGCCAAATAATAGCATTTTGTAGCAATAAAATAGGCCCTTCCTTACCCCAGACTGTCCTTCTCCGGAGCCTCACTAGTTTAGTGACCTGTATAATACATGAACAGCCTCCAAGAGAAATGCTGGCCAGCAACAGATAAAGTTTAGATGGACCCACTGAAAAAAAGGCCATATAGAGCCCCTGCTCCTTCTAAATTTATATCCAAATACAGTCAAAGTCTGGTCTTTTCCTACTGTATTCTGCACACCCACCACCCAATTGTCCAGGGCTCGCACCTTGAGGGCAGGAGAGTGTTAAAAAGACACAGCAACATCCTCTATTTACTTTAATATACGTATAAATTACTGTGCAATACACAGGGCTTAGGAAGCTAGGCCTGATAAATACAGATTTGTAGGTTGCGATTCCTGAAGCCTGTATGGGCCTGAGGTTGTGTTGGTTGTACCTGTCCTGACTCAATTGCCTTAGCTTGGGTGTCTGAGTGTCCAGACGAAGAGGGATCCAGCACTTGTTGAGTGACCGAGAAGAGGATACAGAGCTTGGCTTTTGAGATTTTTAATGAGATCTCGAGTGCCCTCTAGCCTTTCTGCAGGTCTGATGCCTTTGGGGCTTTCCTCAGTTCAAATCCACCAGAACAAATCCTACTGAGCAGGCATTGGGGGAATAAAAGGAGGCCCTCTGTATTTCTTCTCCCTTTCATGTTCATACTCAGGCATCAGGACTGGTGTGAATTGGTGCAAAAAGCCTCATAGTTCCCTCCCCTTTATGCCTAAGGATCAGATTTTCATGGTCCACATTGACCACTCAAAGGAATGTCAGGAAGAAGGGGGCAAACATGCAGAATAGCATCCTCTGTCTCACTGCCCTGCACCAGCTCCTGCCAATATCTCTCTGCCCTGGGGCAAAGCCCTCCCAGACTGCAGCAGAAAGGGTGTCAACACACAACAAAACCTGCCCAGCTCCCACTTTGCTCTCCGAGTGACACATGGCTGAGATAGCCAAGGGGCTGTGCTGAATTCCCTTCATTCCCAGGGGCCCCTAAACTGGAGTAGCTCTCCTCCCTGTGCTGCTAATCCTCTTGATTCCTTTCAGCCCTTTCGTCTCTGTGGCTCTGTGCATCCCAGGGCTGGCTGCCACATGCCTCACTGCCCAGCGACTCGATGCCAGTGGGGTTAACTGGACTATGCTGTTATTTTCTGGCTTGAAAAACAGCACGATCACACTCAAAAGCTGGGTTGAAAGAGTCCAATTTTTTTCCTGAGGATTCCTGCCTGTGCGTCTCGGGATGTGCCACACACTCACTCCATGCACCCACGCTCATTGTGGGCGATCATCGTGCTCTGGAAGTACATCCTTGGGATGCTCGCCAGCTTGCCGGGAGCATGCTCATTTTGACATGCTCTTGTGCTGCACCTCCCCATCCCAAGACAGCCTGTCCATGCCCCTCTCCCTCTTTGTGGTTCATCAGACTGGTCTACAGATGGCTTTTGCCTGCTGAGCAAGATAGTGAATTTACACTTGTGCTCTCAGCTTTAATCCAATGGAAATGTCCAACAGAGACTCACCATGTCATTTATGCCACAATTTGCAGAGCACGTGCCCTGACCATGCAAGGAATAGCCTCTGGTCAGACATTCATAATGCTGCCATCTTGTTGCAATTCCTGCTGTTCAGTTTACTGAGAGACAGAGCTAATTAACGCCAGCTCAGCCCTACAGAGCTGGATAAATAGAGCTAACATACAAGCTCAGGCCAGCCTTTCTCTTCCTAGCATCTCTGTGAACTCCTGGCAGGGATTTTGGCATGCCAAAGCATGCCAAGACACTTTGGTAGGAGCCCATTCCCAGTTAACATTTGCTCAGGCTCAGAGAAAAGGGGAAAAGGAGCAAGAGTGCCTCTAGTGCCCTCCTCTGTGGAGCCAGTGACTTTATCCTCTTTGATCACATGCTCACAAGGATGTCCACCTCTGCATTAAAAGCAAATAAGCACAAAACAGCCCTGGGCCCAAGCTTGTCCCAGGGCATTCATTTCTGACCATTGAAGGACTGTGTGAGTCTGTTGCAAAAATCACTGGAGTCCAGAGCCCAGTAAACTCTGTGACTAGTTAGAGCACAGCAAATTTCGATGTGCAGCAGTCCTAGACTATCATCTTCAGTAGCAAACTTTCAAGGTATGAAGTTTCCATCTTGAAAAAGGAAGGAAAAGACATTAGCAACAACCCATCCCTTCCAGTGAAGTGGCATACTTTTCACATGGCTTCTGATAACTCCTTCAGCATTTAATTTTATTCCAGGCAATTTCTTGTCTGTACATCTGCTTTATTTTTTCCCCTAAGAGTTCAGGTTATCTGTCCTCTGCTCTAGCAGGGAACAAGTGCTGACATGATAAACTACAAGGCACTTAGCAGTGTCTTTCAAAACTTCTTCCAACTCCATAATTTCAGGATCTTAGTAGTAGTGTATTAGCAGTAGTTGATTTTCTCCCAGAAACAGGCATTAGGACAAAACAGGTTTCTGATGAATAGCAGAGCATGAGACCTCTCACTCCACAACAGCTTTCTTCTCACTCTATTTTCAGTGGTATGAATAGCATGATAATCATCTGTGGGGCATAGACATTGGAGCACTGGAGGATGGTTGCAGCTGCTGAAGACATTGCCACACTTTTCTTGCAGGCTCCCGGGGCAGAGATGGTAGAAGGGATAATGTATGAAGTGCATACTGTGTCTCGGTGTCATATTGACTGTCCGTTAGCAGTAAAAGCCAAGCTGACAAGCTGCAGTGGACCTTGAACAGAAGATGGTTTGAAATTGGTTCAGTGTAGGAAAAGCTTCAGCTTTCTGGTCTTCCTGGCCACCTTCATCCCGTCTTTTGTTTGTATAAAGTGTCATGGGACAAAGCTTTTTTGAGCTGGTGAAACATAACCGAGCTTCATTGTGGATGTCCCAGCAAGACATGGAAGCAGTTTAAGAGTTGGGAAGGTCTCCCAGCTGTAACTGAGGGAAGTCAGAAACTGCCTCAAGGCTGAAGTTGTAGAGGGACCTAAATCCTAAGATGGCACGGGAAAAAGAGACTCGAATTAAGAATTAAGTATGACCTGCAGGATTTGAACTGTGTATTTTCTGAACAGTCCTTCCCCATCAACCTTCCTGCTCAGGATATTTCTGGAGTGCTTTGAACTATCCATGTGCAGTGAATGGAGGAGGACAGCTGTGAGTTTTCCTTTTCCATGCTTTCTACTGCTATGAAAGAGATAGCAGTAAAAAGATTCTTTCTCAAAGAGAGTCTTTAAAGTTAGCACAGATAGCAGGACAAGACACTGTTGCCTCCTTGTGTCAGACTGCCTGAATAGTGACTGTCCTCACCAGAACTCCTGAGACTGAGTCCAGCTACTACTCCAGGGACTGTGCCTCTAAAGCTTGACAAATTGCCTCCTGAACTTGAAGAGCTGAGGTTGTGCTGCTCGTAGCTCAGAATTTATAATATTCCCCCTGAGTCACCTTAGAGCAATGCCAGGACAGAGTGAATTCCCTGTGGAAATCCCTGTAGTTTCTTTAGCCTTCTGATGTCCCTCAGCAGGTACAGGGGACAGAGGTCAGTATCCTGCTCTCTTATTTTGTGTCATTGGGTCAGGACTTATGTCACTTGCAGGGATCTCATCAGCTGTTACATTAATCTCTAAATTAATCCTGGTGAGACAGCCCTGAATCCCAGGTGAAGACTTTGTCATATGCTGACTTTTGCACTGGGGATGTTTAATTTTGTGCATCAAGATCCATTGCTGGTTTTGCAGCAGAGCTGGAGTAGGCAAGAAGGTCTTGGCCAAAGGCAGCTTTTTTGCAAGGCCAAAGCAAAAAGGCCACTATCTCACATCAGGGCCATGGGAGATGCAGAAGGGCATCAGACGTTTTAAAGAGGTCTTTGATGCCCAACACGAGAGCTGCTGTCAGGATGTTTGGAGATGATAGTCTAGAACTGCTGGGCACTGCTGAACAACTCACTTCCTGTGGCAACTCCGTTTAAGAGATCTATAAAAAGTTCCCTTTGCAAACACTCGGGAATTTCTTAGTAAAATGCAAATATTTCTATGCCTCGCAGGGAGGAGGTAGAAGCATCTACACTACACACTAATACATTGCTGGAGTTTGCTGTCGGTTCCCCTGCTCAGCTATCACTTCACACGTCCTCTTTCCCTGCTGTCAGCCACCACCTCTGACAGCTTTGCAAGGAAATGCTTCGATTAGGCTCTGTAATACGGAGGTCAGGCAGTCAGAAAGGATGAAGGGCAGTGCTTGGTGATGTGTGAATTTTCCCTTCAGAAAGTGCAGTGCTCCAAGGGGGAGAGGGGCTGCTGGGGATCTAACAGGAACAAAAGCCCCTGTCATTCCGAATCCTCGTTGCTAATTGAGCACAGGATGCAAATCTGTCAGCTCCATCATTCAAAGATGTTCCTCCTTTCTGTGCTGTGGTGCCGTGTTCTCCTCGCTCCCGGAGTTGTTCTTCAATTCAACCTGTCGTTTCACTAAGTGATTGAAAGAGGCCCTGGCAAAACTGGTATCAAAATGAGTGTTGAGTGCAGGACTGAACATTTTGGGAAAGGATTAAAATTTGAGAACTTCCCTTATTCTCTCTGCTCTTCCCTTGCAATCAGGGGAACTCTCAGTTACTGCAGCCCTCCAAAGCATCATCCTTATTCCCTTCCTCCTCCAACTGCTTATTTGTTTTATTATTGCTACTGTTCAAACAGTTTCTAATGGTGCAACTTGCTATCAGAAGGAAATCAGAATAGATTAAATTAACATGTTACAGCTTTAATTTAGAAACAAACAACATAAAGGCCATGGAGAAAAACAAAATGTCCTGTTTCCAGTTTCAAATACTTTTTTTTCTTTTTTCCCCAAATGTTCTTCTGTATTTTAGGATGAAAAATAACATTTTTTACAAGTCAGAATTGATACAAAAGCATTTGAGGCTGATCAACAGAACTGAAATGTTTCCAAGAAGGTTTTGTTTCCTGGGAGACTCTGAAAGGCAGTGCTTGGTTTCAGAACGAAAACATATTGCTGAGAGTACAGTCACATAAACGAATTACTGCAGGGTTAGCAGGGTGAAGGACTTTGAGAAAGTCCTCATTCCATTGCAGTTACCTGGTCTTATTCTGTGGCAAACACATTGTAGTTTATTGTTGGAACCAGGTTACTTCATCTCACGTTTTCTCCAGGGTACCACCATGTCAAAGCATGTGCACTGGAGCTGTGGAGTTGCCAATAGGGCATGAATCCATGTCCTCACTTACCCTTGAGTGTCTAATTTATGAGCCCATAAATTGACTTGAGTTTCTAGATTCTTCATGAAATAGAAATTTCAACTCCAGTGCTGCTGTAATTCTTCATGACTGTCCTTATGGTCAGGCCTGAAAATCTCAATTTGCTATTCACTCTGAGAGTGGAAACTGGGTGACATTTCCTCTAGCTTTCCCTGGTTGTTTTGTTTTGTTATTATTATTTTTTATTATTTTTTGACACCAGGCTTGTCTGTCTGGAGATGTTAGTGTGCAGTAAATTTGCACATGAATGAACATTGCAGTAGCAGCTCCACTGGGACACCTACAGGATAGTCCTACTGTTACAGGAGAGGTGGGATTCATCTGCTGTGTAGTATCTCCATCCGGGGTGTCCAGACTGCTTAAACAGTGAAGATTTGGTCAAAGCAATCAATGGAGTTCAGGACTTGATGCATCTGTCTGAATGGAGATGCCTCATCCTGGACTACATTGACTGGATCTCCACTGTCACCCAGAAATGTCACCTAGGGTGACTGGTTTAGCGAGAGGCACCAACACGGTAGACACCAACTTTTAGTCAGAAGAGTCCCACTTCAGGTTGAATTCCCTAACCTATAATTCAGACTTTCAGAGTTTAAGAGCCAAAGTTTCCCACATAGTTGCCAAAGAAAGGAGAAGACCTCTTCAGGTTATATATTGTGAAGGAAAAGCAATAAGCATCCTATTTGAGAATGCTATTAATTCCCACTTCACTTTCATATTACCTTTCCCCACATCAGTAAAAATACACTTCAGTCCTGGACCTCAGAATCAGACAAACCAAATGATTAGCAAGTGAACCAGGGACAATTTCTTATGTTTTTTCTCTGAGAGAATAGGGCACGGGTATGGTCTTGCCTTCAGACTAACGTAACTATTTCCAACACACAGTCTAAAGCAGAGCGTCATCATGAATTTTGCAGTGTGTTCCACTGTAAACAATCAGATGCTGCTCTGTAGACCTACCCTAAGGCAACCAAGTCTGTGTGTGATTTCTGAAGGAACAGGAAACAAAATTTGCTTGCTGTTAGGTGTGACATACTTCATTTTTGCTGTGGGGTATCTCCTCCAGAGGTGAACTCTACAAAACGAAGAAACAAAAAAATATACCTGTTTGCCAATGACATTAGCCACTGGATAACTTTCTTTTCCCTCTTCATTTTCCAGCTGCTGGCTGTCATTAGAGGGAGGTCTTCTCTATGCCTTCGTGGGACCTGCTGCTGCTGTTGTTTTGGTATTTGAGCTTGGTTGAAAGCCCCTCTTTTTTTCCCCCCCTTTTATTGTATAGGACTTCCCTTCTTCTTTCCATCCAAGAATGTCCCTCTAATGTCCCTCTAATGTCCCTCTATTTCCACTCATTCTTTTAATAACCTTCCCCTTCAGGAGAAAAGAGCCAAATGTTAGAAGGCAGCAAGGTAATCCTTTGGGATAGGTTTGATTTTGAAATATAATATGCTTCAGCACTCAGCCTTCCGCCTCTGTGCTCTCTGGAGACCCTTAGACATCTAGTTAACGCTTTACCTTGTTTTTCCTCTATCTGGATGCAAATGTACAATGATGGTGGCAAACTCTGACATTAACTCCTTCAAAACTGTTGTTCCTGGTTGATCTCAGACCAAGCTGTACCTCTGCAGCCAACATTTGTTCCCAGTCTGTCGCAGATGGCAAGTGCATGTGAGAAGAATTGTGTTTTTGAGGTCAAATGAAGCTCTTCAGATCAGTGCTGAAGGAGCACTGTGTGGCTCTCAACATATCACATCTGCTTCTAGCTCAAGGAGACAGAACAGTTGAAACTCTATCTCACCCCTTCACGGTGTGGATGTGCTAGACATGAGTCTACACTGCTGTCCCCTCTCCCTTGGCTTCAACACTGTACCAAAGCTGCTCTTTGACAGCTACTGCCTGAGTTGGAGGTGTCTTCAAAGGTGATTACATACCTTTCACGAAGCTTCCCTGCTGTGGAAACTTCACTGGCCATGAGAAATCTTGACATTCAGACAGAGTTCGAGGAATGTGAGAACTGCTAATCCTCTAGGAAATCCCTCCTTCATCAATTTCATACAAGTTTTAGCACTGTGTTCTAGCACCTGTACCTAAGTGACAGTCTGCACTTACTCTCTAGCTCAATGTTTTGCCTATACAGCCCAGAGCAGTGTGTCCTGCAAGGCCTGTAAGCCTCAGGTGCCCTGGTGAGTCTCACAGGGAGGAGGTTTTTGACACTTAAATTCTTTTTTATCTTTTTTTTTCCCACATCAAGCTTTTGTTTCATGCAGTGCCTGGAGAGATAACTGCCCTGCAGCAGTAGCAAGTGTAAAGGAGAGTAACTTGCCGTCTGTATTCTCACTGCTGTCACAGCACGTCAAGCTGTCTTGGTGCCATCATTTCATCATTATGGCAAAGACAGAAGTTAGCCTTTGCCCTTCCTCTATAATAAGGCAAGTTATTATCAGTTGGGACCTTTCTTTAGCATAGGGCTACAACAGAGGTGAGTCTTTGGGTAGCAGATTGCAAAAGTTATGAATAAACAGGCATTAATGCCATCCATTCACTACATCTTTGTAGGCACATGATAGTTGAATTTCACTCGGTGATGTTGTTGATGGGGTCAGGCTCTTTTTATATAGTCAGAATAGTTGGCAATAGTTGGTATGACAGGAAAACTTGTGTTTTCTTCTGATTGGCTCTGCTTTTATTCATTGTCTAAGCTGTAAGTGATGACGTCCTTCCAGAGGGATCAACATACTCAAATGGTGGTTCATCCATCTGATCTTAGAAAGGAGTGAGTCATCTCTGGAGGGCTCTTCACTGTCTAGAGAGAGCCAGCATCTCTAGGTTAGACTGCCTGACTCTTAGATAACTGAAGTGAGATGAGAATGAGGCCAAAGAAATGATAGTAGGAGGTATATTCTCTGAGGAACTTGGAGAAGAGCAAAAAGAAGCAGCGCTGAACACTTAAAAATTGGAAACCAGAAAACAGAGAAACTCAGTAAGTTGCACAAGTTCACACTGTGACTTTGCAGCAGAGCCAGGGTCAGTGAGCTCTGTACATACTTTATCCTGCTTTCAGCTTGACCGTGACGGTGATGGAAGGTCACCGCATCTGTCTCAATATGAGGACAACGAGGCTGTTGCAGGGCTGTGCTGAGTGAATGCAGCTGTACTGCTCTCAGAGCAAGCTTGATCTACAGACAAGAATAAGCTTGATCTGTAGACAGTACAGCAGTGATTATGCAGGGGAATATTGGGAAAAGGAAAAAAAAAGAGGATGGGATCTGCTTCTGTGTGTGAACTGTGAAGCTCTTTCTCACCCTAACTCTAAGAGAATGATATGTAGACATTCAGTAGACCTTACTCAGGGCTGGCTTTGTTCTAGGCAGATTTACTACTTCTGCCTTAACCCAGGCAGTGTAGGCTTGTAATGACTCCTCCCAAGCAATGCAAGTGTCCCTGTACTGCAGTTCTCCTGTGAACATGCTTTTTCCATTATCAGGAGTAACTCCTTCTTCCATGCCCTCCCCTATTATTCTCAGCATTAGAGAAAGGTCTTTATTTTGAGAATATCTTTACTCAAACTGATATTCTTGAGATTGTTCCCCTGTAGCTCCAGGAGAATGTGCAGCTTAGGTTGAAGACTTCTACAGGGAGAGGCATGGTGAACTCAAGACAGAGCCATCAGTCATCACTTATCTCAAGGACTGGATCTCAGACTTGTGCCTTTGCTTCAAAATGGCATCTCAGAGATAAGATAGTAAAGCTATACTGCTGTGTTTAGCTACACTGCTGTTCAAAGTGTCTGTGTTTAGTTGTGTTTAGAAGCATGTCCATGCCATATCCCTGCCCTCATTTGTAAAGAAACGGAGTCGGTATCGCAGCAGGATATTGATCATGCAAGCCCTTCTTCAAGTGCCTCTGTCCTCCTTGCATTTCGTCTTAGAAGTGACTAGGAGGCCTTCAACATTCATCATCCCTGCTGTAAATGGACAAGGATGCGAGGCCTGTTGCGTCAAGCCTCAGGAGTGAACCAACCAACTGCATTTCAACCCCATGTTTGCTGCTGTCTTGCTGCACCTAAAAGAAAGATATGTCTTGCTCTGACCAGCATCCCAGCATGATGAAGAAGAGCCAATGAGTTCAAGCTCACTCTGTCTCCAAGCACACAGTCAGAGTGATTTCCTGCTGATCTTTGGCTTTGTTACTGTGTCCATCTTGCCAGCCTTTTTTCTGAAAAACAGTAGCATGGTGAATCAAATTGGATTTGCAGCTGTGGAAAATAATCCAGTGACCCAGCAGTTGATGGAAAAGAACTGATATTTGGGAGCTCTGCCATTTATTCCCAGCTACTTCCCAGTCCCAGCTAGGACTCTGCATCAGTGAGCTGGGTAACCTGCTGAAATCATCAGTGCAAACTCAGAAAGACTTCTCTGTAGGCAGTTAGATAGACACTTGGTATGAACAGACATCTCCCTGCCCTGGAAGTGTGTGTGATGAACACCTTTAAAGGTCTATTAAACTCACTCAGGCTCTCAGCCAAAGTGTAATATGCATTTCTGATTTTGGCCTTACACATTTCCTTGCAAGTGCCATAGAAAGAACATCTAGTCCCTTGTTCTACCAACATCAGATGTTTCATTGACAACAAACCCAGGAAAGTGTCACTGTTTTCCACCATCCATACTGTGCCCCTATTAATGGGGTAATGTTCTTGAATCCCAAGTGTGTTAATATTTAGAGTTTGCTGAGATTTGGATGGGAGTCATAAAACAGATGCAGCTGGTGACAGCGACCCAAACGGTGCATTCAGGGAGAAGCAGTGAGGAGCTTTGTGAGAGCCCTGCTCTGCACAGCCTGAATTTCCCTGTGGATATTTATTTCAAGAGGCTTTTAAAAGTAGCCTTTATCACCCACTGTTACACTGCTATTGACCATCTTCTATTTGTATTCCTGGGGAAAAAAAAAAAAAAAAATCTTGTGCCTTGAGTTTGCCTTAATAGCATTCAAGCATGCACTGGGCAAAATAAATCAGACTTCAAGAGGTCCTGAGATGATCTGAGCAGTTTGTAGGCTCCTCCTGGCGTATGGAGACCTTTCCAAACTGCCACCAGCTGCGTTTTGTTTTCCTGAACTTACTGACATATGATCAGGGGAGGTGGGATCCGGTGGAAGGGTGGTGGCCTGATGGGATGTGGCCTTGCTTCTGCAAAATACAAAGGATGCAACTTGCTGAAATGTGTTTTCTTTTTTTTTTTTCTTCTGTGCTGCTGAGTTTGACCTGAACCACTTGAGAACAAAACTATATGTTGTTTCTCTTTCAACAGGTGAACATGGTTATTGGCATTCTGGTTTTTAACAAACTTGTATCCAAAGATGGAATAACAGATAAGAAACTGAAGGAACGGGCAGGGTATGCCTTATCAATACATCTAAGTAAAGAATGAAAACAAACAAACAAAAAAGGTTGTGATCAATAACCTGGCAAGAAATGCAAAGAAAAATTGGAGACAAACAAAACAAAAGAAAGAAAACAGATGTAAATTAAACAAAGCAAACCAAAGAAATTCTTAATGCAATGCTGTGTTGTGTATTCAGTGCAGTGGAGACTAAAGCCTCAGGAAGCAGCACTGTGTTATCAGGAGGGAAGGTTAGAAGTTCATCTCTTTGTTAAAATGGCTTCGCTCTTCACTAGAGACAACAGCCGGGTTAGAGGAAGTTGCCACAGCAGAGCATGGCACATGGCATGGGCTGTGTGACAGAGAAGTCACATCTAAAGCCTGGCATGTTGCTGCGAGGGTGATGAAATGCTTTGCAGGAAAAGGCATTGGAAGGTCTGGAAGTGAAGAGATTAGTAGATGGATGGATGAGTAGAAAGAAAGACCCATAGGTAAAGATATCTCCTCTGATAGAAAGAATTATTATTTAAATAATCTTTTCCACAACCACTTCCCCAGCCACCACCCCTAAAACACTGAGTATGCAGAACTGCTTTTCTTCACACTATAAATTGAAGGAACTATTCCACAGCCCTTGTAGGTGTGTTTTCACCAGGGGAACAGGCAGACAGGGCCTTACCTACCCTGTTGGCTTGACACCAAACTGCTGACAAGGGCTATTTTATCGCTAATTCCAGCAGGACGAGAATTCCCTTCATCTTGGTTTCTCCAAGCAAGGCTACAGCCTGCTCAGCCTGTATCCCGGGGCTATGCCATGCTTCAAGCAAAGGCAGAAATGACACGCTGACGCTTTGAGTCAAATCAGAGCATGGAAAATGTACAGATCAGTCCGACAGCTGATGCTAATGCATTTCATCCACTCTCTTACCTGGGCTGCTGTTTCAGTCAGAGAAGCCAACTCATGACCTACTCTTCAAAAAGACTTCTTGCTTAGTTGAAGGCATTTGCCTTGCTTGGGTTGCTTGTCAGTTGATGGTGTTCGCAGATAATGAACATACTTCTGAAGGAAAACGTTGTTTGCAAAGGGAGAACATGGAGAGCAGGACATATTCTGATGCCTGCATGTATGATTACAAGCTCAGTCTGAAAAAAGTAGGAAGAAGAGCAGCCTGTTTTTCAAGTTAGAAGGAAAAGCAGCCTGTTTTTGAAGTAGATACATCTGTGTAGGTGAAAGAAGCATAGTTATCTGCTGTACTGTGTTCTGCACTCCAGGGCTTCACAGAGAGGACAAATGTCCCCATCCACTGTGGTCCTGCACGACCCTAAGATGTCTTAGAGGGTTGCAGTGAAGAGTGCAGTCAAGGTTAAATGCCCCTTTCATTGCACTATTGAGTATTTGCACTGAAAGTAAGTCTTCAGAGGGTGACATCAGCGTAACGGAAGGCAGAAGCTAGCTCCTACCTAGCAAGAGAAGGATGAGGAGAAGGATGAGGAGGCTCCTCCTTTGAGAAGCAGTGCTGAGTTGTCCACGTGGCATAGCTCCTCAGGAATCTTGTTAGGAACAGCCTTCCCATCTCTGTAGCCTACGGCCACACATTTTCTTCAGACAACTTTTTTATTTTTGCTTGACCACAAATCCTGAATGGATTTGTCCATTCCTTGGCCATTCACTATGGCGAAGGAAGATCTTCCTTTGTGACTCGTGCTTTCAGGTGCCTTTACCCTTCAAGGCAGATGTTACAGCATCTGCAGCTTGTCCTTCTCTTACACCAGGACAAAATCAGAAGCCCGATTGGTACCTTGGTAGTGATAACAAGAGGAGACTTGGGTTAGTTTGGATGAGCAGGGAATATCATTGCTGGAACGTTTCCAAGTTGGGAAAGGCACATGAAGAAGAGACCTTGGCATATTGCTTAACACAGCTACCAAGGAGAGGGTGTTTTATTCTGGGTGATGCCTTCTTTGCAAAGAGAGAACTCAAGAAAATACCCTAACCTCAAACAGAATTACTACCAAGGTAATTATACTTGAAGGCAAACATTGAAATAAATCATTTATTGTATTAGCAAAGCAGTGAGTCTCTCACTCTCTCTCTCTCTAAGCTAAATGCACACAGAATATCCTTATTTAATGAATGCCATCTGGTTATTGATCACATTCCTTGTTATACTTTGAGAGCAAAACCTACAAAACAACAACAACAAAAAAAGATCATTTTTTTCTGATGTTCTTTGTTTTTTCTTTCTTTTCTCTTTTTTCCCCCCTCTTTCGTGTCCGTGTGTGTGTGTGCAGTACTTTTAAGCCTTCTCTGTGCTAAGTGATTTTGCCGATTTTGTCCTCCTTCCAAAGTGCACCCACCGAGAATGCTGAAATGCTTTTGAGAGTCTGGTACCCGCCTCCCTGTAGCTAGCTGCTCCTGGCCTGGGCTTGGGAACCGTGTTGGAGGGTAGATCTGGAGATAATCGGAATGAGTAACTGCCTCGGAGATGTTTGGATCTGAGGAGATGGTATAAAGAAACACTGTGTTTCCTTTAGCAGAGGCAAGAAGTATGGTTCAGTGTTGCAAAACAAAAAGAAAAAAAGAGAAAAAGAAGAGAGAAAAGAGCTATTTAACACGAAGAGAAGCCCAGCACACATAGTGCAGCATAGATCGGTTGACACAAACAAATCAGCGTTAACCAACAGTTATGACAAAATAGTACTTGTAACACAGTAGATCTCACCCTATATTTAGCGGAGAAAATAGCTGTCATTACTGTGTCATATTGGTCAGAAAACGTTGACTTTCTAAAGGCAATGACTTTATACACGGACCAGAAAACCAGGCTTTAGAAAGATGGGTATGGTTATAGTGAAAGCTGGATCACCACACAAAACTGCCCTGAATCCTGTCTGCGAATAAACCATGTACTAAAGCTAGGGAGCAAATTGTGAAAGTGGCTTCCAGCAGATACGTGCTTGGAATTGTTAATCAGTTCCCCACGGCTAATCTGCCTCCTTTTGCGGTCAGCTGCACAGAGAGCATTCGCGCTCTATTGACGTGAGTGCTACTAAAAGCAAATGTTTTAATGTTGTACGCAGGAGCCTTTAAAATGAATTTTAAATTTATTCAGCCAGTATTTATTCTAGAAGCATTTGTGTGCTCACGCAGCCAGGGAACAAAAAATTAGACTATAGGGTATATTCACAAAAGCTAATTTTAGCCTGTTGTGTTTAATCTCCCTGGGCTTCCTCTGTAGCCACTGGAGAGAGACAAGAGCCTCGTTTAGTTATTCGAAGTTGCCCCTTAGAGGAACTTTATTTTTTCCTCTCTCCATCGATTATAGAGAGGACTTCAGAGTTTGCCCCAATATTTCTTGTGAGAAATATTCAACTGTCCTGGTGGGGTGCAACAGCGCTGGATTGTCAGTGCCTAGAGTAAAAGTAATTGGAAAGATAATGACTACATTAAAATAGGGACAGATTCTTATTGCCTTTCATCTGAGAGTGTTTCATTTTAGCAGTGTGCCTGCTCTCTGGGCCTTGGATGGTTTAACACACTATTCAGTAGTGCTGCGAAATCCGGGCTCCAGCAGACACTCCAGATGAGCCCATGGATATTGGGGATATCAACTGGGAAGTCAAAAAAGAAACTGATTACATGAATGCATTATTCGCTGTAATTATTTCATTAGCTACCATTTCATACATACATGCACCAATATAAACCTGCTGCAGGAATTTAGTGTATTAACAACCCCTTACCTCCAGCAAGAAGAAATTTGAATATAAATGCATCACATTTGTGCTTACTGCTTACAGCTTTCTGCATAAATACACCTGACAGCAGTTACAGTTGTGTGTTACAGTGGTCTTTTGACCAGCTTTTTTTTTTGTGATTCAGTGTCATTCATGTTTTTTCTGGCATAGTTTTCCATCAAATTTCTTGAATCTACTTTCTTTTTGCTGCCTATCTCTGCCTCTCTGTCTCTCTGCTGATCTGTTCTTTGTGGCTCATAGGTCTGGGGATAGATCGTCTTTTTTAATGGTCCTTCACGTAATGCCTTTCAAGACCCACTTTATCTGTGGTTCAGCCATTGTTCTCAGTAGATTTACACCATTCTTCCTCAAAGATATGTATCTATTGACACAGTAGCTAATTTTCTCTGTGTCTCAAGGCTGCAAGTTGTCGTGGGATGCCCTAGCTTCAAATCATTATTCTGGAAGGAAGTAATGGCTTATGTCACTCTAACTGATTAAAAGACCAATCAATAACCACTTAAAAGTAAGCTCACATGACCACCAATAATGCTGTGCTGGTGTTCATGGGGATGTCTTTTTTTTTTTTTTTTTTTTTTTTCAGTTTAGACTGAACACAGCCATAAAAGTTAGGAAACAATTTGTCAAGTTTTCCAGTGTCTCTCACAGGTAGATAGGGCTGTAACAGCCCTACATTTGGTACTTGCAAGCGTCATCTCTTACCAACTCCATTAATATTACCTAGGAAAAACAGGCCATCTGCCCCTTACCAATGATGTTAATATCATCTCTGATATTAAGCTTTTTGTGTAGGTCTGTAGGATGTTTTGCTGACTACTACCCATTTCCTAGACCAGGTCTGTTCTGGAAGCCATATATCTGTGCTTACTAAACAGTGCATAGAAATTAATAAATTTGGGGAAGAAACATGTCCAGTGTAAAACCAATGGGGCCTCTGGGCTTTTGAGGTAGATCTAACTTGTCAGTTGAGTGAGTTCCTGTACACCAGGATATTTCAGCCTCCAAAGAACCAGATGGGCATGCCCTTTACTGGATGCCCAGGTTGTGAGGACCTTTATATGGTCTCCAAAACCACAGCCCACAATAGCCACAGATTGATGGCATCCTGGGAAAAAAAAAAAAAAAAAAAAAAAAAGAGAGAGAGAGAAAGACACCTATCTGAGCAAGTCTCAGGGTTAATCTCACAGATGTCATCAGCTCCAAAATAAGTTTCCCCACAGAGAGAAGAAATCACTTAGAAGTGCCAAGCCCTTTC